TCCAGTGGTGTCTGGGAGGTCCACGGGGCGATGGTAGTTGGCCCCGAGCCAGAACAGCTGATTAAGGACGGCGTCCTCTAACGCCGTCACCGCTGCGAGCTTGCAGAACTTCCCGGCGTACTCATAGAAGGGGAGATCCCGGCGGGATATGGTGAGGAAACGAGCAGCGATCTCCATGTTGTTGTTTTGGGTCGGTTATTCTGTCATGGAAACGGGTGTGTGGAGGCAGGCAGGACGACGAGGACGACAAGGATTCCAATAATGACATTTATTGTAGACACAACAAGGCAGGTTCAGGTAGGTGAGACACACACTCGGGGTAACATTAACAGTAACCGACACCAATGCTCAGACAGACAGGAACTAATATGGGGTGAATAATTAGAGGCAGACAGGTGAGCACAATGACGGTGATTAACTAATGATTAGACGGGCTAAACCAACACAAAGGGAAGAAACCACAACAAACAGTCCACAGGGGCGTTACACAAGAATGTGTTTGTTCTACCAATCTTTCATTAAAACTTGGACTCGTTTTATATTCAAGACTGTGAAAAACTTTTTCAACTGATATCACCGAACCTACTTATTTTTGGTCATATGACTAGATAAAGTCAATCTATATCCTGTTTCAAATAGAAATACATCACATTATGGAATTAAACACATGTTGACTTTATGAACATCTACTCAAGACAGCAAAAGCTTTGCTCTAAATTTACAGTGTTAAATGATTTTCATTTTGATTCAAGCTGCCATAAATCTAGTCAAATAAACAAATGTCTATTTGCCTCTTGAGGGATACAACAACAGATGAGACTTAATTGACTGACATGCCCATCTGATTGTCTCTCTGTTAAGAAGCAAAGACTCATGTATGGATATTGAAGTCTTCTGGCTGGCTGACTCTCTTGTCAATATGACACGGATCGTTTATGCAGTCAGACCTTCCCACTCACAGCACTATTAGGACACTCACGGACATCTATGACCCTAATTAGCATTCAATGCACACAACACAAAACAATTCAATACAAACAAACAAACACATAGATCAGTATTATCAATAAAACAGGTCTATACACACTCATGAAGAATAAGTGCAAATCATGCTGTATCATTGATATGGATTTATTTTAAATCTGGAAATACATTTTTTTACAATTATAAACATTTAAAAACAAAAGAATGTTAAAATGTAAAAGGAAGACGAAATATTGAAGATTCTGCACCAGATCGCTAACTGAACAGCAAATTTGTGCAAAATATTTATGCAGCTCAAGTGCTGCTGTCATTAAAGGGATCATGAACTGAGAAATCAAATTTCCCTTGATCTTTTGACATATAACAGGTCATATAACAGGTACTATAAAAACATCCTTTAAGTTTCAAAACTAAAAACTTTCTCATTAGTTTAAAAACAGCTTTTATTGAAACCAAGCTCAGAAAATGACTCGTTTTGGAATGTGCCACTTTATGACGTAATAGTGTGGCTAAGCACTGCCTCCGCAGGAGAAGATCAATGACTGCTTCTATATCACTGCCTCATTAGCCCCGCCCACTGATACACGCTTGTAGTAGGAGGAGAGGAAATACTAGAGAGATGGATTACTCCATCAACAGACCCATACATATGACATTACAAGATTACAAGACACTGTGTAGTGTAAGTTGTGAAAAATAGTCTTTGAATTGCCTTCCTTGTGATCCTAACATATCTAGATCGGACACGAGTGTTGTTGCATCATGTAGCAAATCCAATTGACCTATCGGTAAGCCCGAAGACTAGAATACCCAAGACGTGTCACTCGTATAGTTTTGAATGGGGAAAAATGCAACGCTCAATATGGCCGTTCTATCGAACGAAGCCCCACCTTCTGAGTAAAAGAGCCAATCACTAATTGGTAAAGTCAATGCATCACTGCAGCTGCCCCAGTTGCTATAGAAACAGTCAGCATTCTGAGACGTGCACTCAGGACTGTGCATGTGCACTGGCTGGTCTAGCCTGAAAAATACACTTTTTTAACGCTATTTTATCTTAAGCTTGGCGAACAGTTTTAGAGAATTTGATGTTTCCCCATTCAAAGAGATTCAAAGCAAGCTGCACTTGCATGCCCGAGAGGCATTTCAAAGATGGCTGCCGAGTGACATGACTTGCCTTAAAGGGACTTTGTGTAAGCCCCATCCCCCTTAGTTACTGTTGCTCACTCTGACAAACAAACGGAGTTGCGAAGTGACACCTGTCAGTGTGATAACCTTGTCCCAAGATGTTTTTGATACATTTTGGACACAGAAGAACCAACATTCAAACGGGACTTAAATATGCCATGGAGGGATATATAAAAGATTTTAAAATAAATATGGTGGGTAATAAGATTAATTTGGTAGCAAGGGTTTACAGATCACAATGCAAGCGGGAGAAGCCTCATGTTACGACCATCACGATTGCAGATGACAACATCCAGAATTCATGTACCGCAGGGTAGGATTAAATTAATTTACATTTAACCAGTTTAATAGGGAGGGGCACTGAAATGCAGACCTTCGTTTATGTGTTTTTGACCTACACTGTACATGACGTGAGAACAGTTAGCATGGACTCACTAACTTTAACGTTAGCTAGTTTTAGCCAGAGACACCTTGCTGAAGGACAAGATGACATTAACGTTCTGCTTGAGCAGAAACTTAATGAGAGTATGACAACCAGAAAATGGTTTTCGTCTTCATTGGGATTGGGGTTGAATGCTCTGTCTTGTTTGGGTTTAGGAAATGGAATAAAATAAATTCCATTGCCCATCCTCTCAGGATACCTGGAATCAGTGTTATAAGTAACCCAGGCACATAATTTTGCCATTTTTGTAGCATAAACATCATCAAACCGATGAGAAATTTGGATCTTCCAATGTTTCTCTATAGCGCTGAAACCTAAAGATGTCCGAGTTCTGGTCCCCATGCAACTGATACTCAACTGCCATTGGCTCATCTGCATTCGATGGGAGGGGCTTAACTATAGGTAAATTCTCTTTCAGGTTAGAAGCAGCGCGAATGCTTGTATGCCAGAAATAGAGCGGGACATCAGTTTACTGTCGGGGATTTGTCACGTCAATCTGTGCTGCATCAAGTGTAGACAGAATCGCAGATTATAATGGGTTCTGTTGTCTATAGTCGTGTTGCGCCTCTCGCGTCCGGTGTAAACACGGTAAAATTAGCAAAGAGCTCCAGATCGTGTCAGTGAAACACTGTTTGTTTGTTTGTTTACTTTACTTTTGTTTAGAAGCAGATCTCTAAGAAGTGGTGAATGCCTCACTTCTTTCTGGGACGTTTCCAAAATCCCTGAAAACTGCAGTTGTTAAGCCCCTTCTGAAAAAGAGCAATCTTGATAACACCATATTGAGCAACTATAGACCAATATCAAATCTTCCTTTTATAGG